TGATATATCTGACTGTGGTATGTAGAGTATATGATATGTCTGACAGTGGTATATGAGACTTGATTACGTTAGATAATGACTACTGATTGGATAATTACTGTGAAATATCAGAATTCATAATGAGGTTAATTGACAGTGACATTAACTTAATGTCATTATACCACCCCTCTTATCATCTCTGGTATTAGCAAATTGTTTAAAGAAATCCACCCACATAAGACTTACCTAATGGAAAAATGTCAAGTGCGCTTTAAAAAAAAAGATAACTTCAGATATCTGCTTGATTAGAATAAAAAAAATGTTAAAAAGTAAGTTAAACTCCAGAAAAAAATAACAAGATGAAAAAAGAAATGTGGGTTTCCTTAAAAAAGATAAATGTTTCTTAGAAGAAAAAAATATTACGTGCTGTGTTGGAAGACATTTTTGGATATCTTCAAAATGAAAAAGTTATATAGATGGATTAGTGAGATTGAAAATCAAGAAAAAACTGAATTAGCTTGCCATCATTGCTTGAGATTGGACATCTTTCATTGAGATTAGACATCTTTCATAGAATTTGGACATCTTTCATTGAGATTAGACATCTTTCATAGAATTTAAACATCTTTCATTGAGATTAGACATCTTTCATAGAATTTGGACATCTTTCATAGAATTAGACATTTTTCATAGAATTTGGACATCTTTCATTTAGATTGGACATCTTTCATTGAGATTAGACATCTTTCATAGAATTTGGACATCTTTCATAGAATTTGGACATCTTTCATTGAGATTGGACATCTTTCATTGAGATTAGACATCTTTCATAGAATTTGGACATCTTTCATAGAATTTGGACATCTTTCATAGAATTTGGACATCTTTCATTGAGATTGGACATCTTTCATAGAATTTGGACATCGAATTTGGACATCTTTCATAGAATTTAAACATCTTTCATTGAGATTGGACATCTTTCATTGAGATTGGACATCTTTCATTGAGATTGGACATCTTTCATTGAGATTGGACATCTTTCATAGAATTTCAACATCTTTCATAGAATTTAAACATCTTTCATTGAGATTGGACATCTTTCATAGAATTTGGACATCTTTCATTGAGATTGGACATCTTTCATAGAGATTGGACATCTTTCATAGAATTTGGACATCTTTCATTGAGATTGGACATCTTTCATAGAATTTGAACATCTTTCATTGAGATTGGACATCTTTCATTGAGATTGGACATCTTTCATTGAGATTGAACATCTTTCATAGAGATTGGACATCTTTCATAGAATTTGGACATCTTTCATTGAGATTGGACATCTTTCATAGAATTTGGACATCTTTCATTGAGATTGGACATCTTTCATAGAGATTGGACATCTTTCATTGAGATTGGACATCTTTCATAGAATTTAAACATCTTTCATTGAGATTGGACATCTTTCATTGAGATTGAACATCTTTCATTGAGATTGGACATCTTTCATAGAGATTGGACATCTTTCATAGAATTTAAACATCTTTCATTGAGATTGGACATCTTTCATAGAATTTGGACATTTTTCATAGAATTTGGACTTCTTTCATAGAATTTGGACATTTTTCATAGAATTTAAACATCTTTCATTGAGATTGGACATCTTTCATAGAATTTGGACATTTTTCATAGAATTTGGACATCTTTCATAGAATTTGGACATTTTTCATAGAATTTAAACATCTTTCATTGAGATTAGACATCTTTCATAGAATTTGGACATCTTTCATAGAATTTGGACATCTTTCATAGAATTTGGACATCTTTCATAGAATTTAAACATCTTTCATTGAGATTAGACATCTTTCATAGAATTTGGACATTAGCACAACACAATCTTATGGTATACTACACGTTTCAACAATTTACACTGTGTACAATAAAGCTAAGTATTAGTATACCATAAAGTTGCTTGATTGACTGGTGACATTAAAAGGGGAAAAAGATGACTTATAAGAGGTTTTTTATATTTGAATGCTATGGAATCAAATTCCATAAGTCTTTTGAGCATCTTCACTGTGTGAGCTCGTGTAGAAGTTTTCATGTTGAATTCACTTTGTTGTATGAGTCTCATCATTAGGTAGAAGGGCTCTTTACATTCATTATAAAACTCCTGAATAGCTATTGAACTCATATAATGTCTCCCTTGTTGATTTCAATAGCTTCTGTACATTATGGATAGGAGATGGAGTTATGTTCACCTGTTATTCTAGTGCTTGTAGAGGTCCATAAGGTTAATCCTATCTTTATCTCTTAATGTTAATATAACACTTATTTGTAGTTAAGTGATAATATATTAGGATAATAAAAGTTGAATTAAGAGTTAATGCCCTTGATTAATCAGATATCAGATAGGAATGTTTGTTTTATTATTATTATATAAACAAAATGTTTACACTTGATACTTGTAACTCATTGAGAAAAATGCTTCATAGAAATTTTTCTCTACTCCATCTCAAAAGAAAATGGACATACGTGCATTCAATCTCATAATACCCCTGGAACAAATTTTAGATTGTAAGCTTCAGGCTTATTTCAAATTTAGGAATTAATGAAGCATTTACCACATAGGACTAGGTTTGTCAAAATAACATCCCTTTTCAGAAAATCAGAAGTCATTGAGAATCCACTGTGGCTCAGTGTGCTTTCTAATTGGAAAGGCCAAGGTTCAATCCTGGTATGGGTCTGTTTTTTCCCTGCGTTCCCCTGTCAAGTCTGACATGAAAAAAGAGGCTAGTTGTTCAGATGTTAAGCGAGGAAGCCCTGTGAACTTCAGACTATACATGTGCTAATGCTGCTGTTATAACAAAATTTTTCTCATTTAACATTGCATGGCCTAACCCAATCAACAATAACTCATTTCATTTATTTTCAGATTTTCAGCAAAGCTGATATATAACTCTAGTGTTGAATTTTTTTATGAATTATCTACGTGCTTAGACAAGGTTGAGTTGTTATCAAAATGAACTTCTTTTTGTCATTTCCACTGATCAAATTAAGACTTGGTTTTGTGTGTTTTAGATTTCTGTAATTCCATTATTTGAGTGGGATGATAATTTCTCTATTCAATGGTTATGATTGATGCTTTTTCTTCATTATCTTGTCATGATCTTGCTTCATACAATTCCCACTGCAGCATTCTGGCTTTTATAAAGGTCAGTTTATGCAGTAAATGGATAGTTCCCTTGATTGTACTTGTTTCCGAACACTATCCCATCTTTAAACTTTAGTTAACCCCTATTTGTTCCAATTAAATATTATCTTATTGTAACTTGTGTGCATTCTTGTCATATCTTTGGCTCCAATGGGTTAATCCCTTGTGTATATATGACCAGTTATCCCATATCAAACATAGTTTATCATTCATATATCATATTAGAAAATTAGAAAATCAACTGTGTGAATAATCAAACCATTAATATCATACTCATGGGTACAACATGCTGAAGCCTTACAGCGGATAAACTCTTGAAAGGCTTCATAATTTTTCTTAAGCTTTAAAGCTTGTTTCCAAAACCATATGTTTATATATATGTATATTGTAATATTTGTAATTCTTGAATAAATATTTTTTTTTTTTTTTTTCTAAATTTTATTGGCAAAACATTTACAATACAGATATCTGTAATATATACAATATAAGTAGCACATTAATATTCATTATAATTTTACAATATCTATAGTTTTATATAGTTGTATAGTCTATGCCATATATTGAACAGAGTTTGTGAGAGATAAAGAAATGGAAACAGAAACAAGTGGACAGTACAGGAAAGATGAAAGGAAAGAGTACCATACCGTCATTTCCTTATAATTGCGTCTGTTCAGTTAATGATCAAAATTTGTCAGTATTTCTAAAATATTATCCCATTGTGCATTTAAAAACATGTCGTTTTTGTGTTTACATAAATATAGTTCTACTTTGATATTATCTAGGAGATAGTTTATTAATGCTATTAGGTTAGGTTTGGTTTTATTAATCCTTGAACGATAAATGAAAAATTTTGTATGAAGAAGAAGCCAATTTAAGGGTATACCTAATAAGTTAGGTCCGAAAACAATCGTTTCTAATGACAACACAGTTCCAGAAAGGTAAATTTTAAGCTTATACCATAGGGATTTTACATATAGACAATCATAGAAGATATGTTCTAACGATTCCGGACTATTTTGACAAAAGGTGTATAATTCAGTTTCGACTAGTTTAATTTTGTAGAGAAAAGTATTTGTTGGTAAAATGCGATGTAAAATGCGGTATTGAAACCAATTAATTTTCGAATTTTTTGTAAATAAATGTAAAATGTAATTTAGGCTCCAATCATTCACTTTGTATTCTAGTACCTCAAATTTGGTTTGTGACTTAATCGAAATATTTTCTGTTAAAGCATCATAAATATGCCTACTACCTTTACATTGATTGAACAACAGTTGAATGTGAAATGGAATAAAAGGCCGTAGTAGCACGATAGGTTCATTTTCTTTTTCTTCAAATGTTTCGTTTGTACATAGCGTAATAGTTTTAATTAAGGTAGTATATTCAAGGAAATTTGTTTTTAAGCTTGGGTACAGTTTTAAAAAATCGTTATAATTAAGGAAATCCCCACTATCATTCCACAAATCTGAGATATAAATAATATTGTGTTTAAAATATCTTGGGTAAAATAGTGGCTTATTGAGCAGTTTAATTGAAGAATTGTGCCATATTACTGTTTTCCCTAAGTCTGCTTTACACTTAGCGCTAATGTTTTTCCTTACTCGGATCCATGAGGTGATAACATTTTTCCAAAAAGTATTATTAATATTGTCTAGTTTATTTTCGAGATAGGAATAGTCAAATCTAGAAATAAAATCGCATTTTAGACTTGTACTGTATTCAAATAATTTGCCCCATTTACTCTCTGATAGGATGAGATGTTTTATCCATGTTGTTTTAAGTGAAACTATAAAATTATCTAAATCTACCATATTCAAACCTCCATTTTTGTAAGATTGTTTTTCTCAGGTTTGTTGTTCCAAATAAATTTGAAAAATTTTGTGTTGAGGAGATTAATAAGAGTTGGCTCAGGGTTTGGAAGAGATATAAACAAATGAGTTAATTTCGGAATTATAAGTGATTTCAGTACATTTATTTTACCAATCGGTGTTAGATAACGTATTGACCATTGATTTAGTAGAGAGTTTATAGAATTACATACAGAGTCAAAGTTTATTTTGGAAATACTATCTAGTTCTAATGTAAACCTGAATCCTAGAAAATCAAAGTTTGTGGACCCCCACGATTGTTTCCATTTGTCATGATGATAAACTTCCTGCGAAAAATTTTTTGCTCCAATCCTAATTGCCTTTGTTTTGGAATAATTTATTCTCAAGCCAGAAATTTCAGCGAAAAAGTCTAGTATTGTTAAAGTGGCTTTTATTGATTCAGGTGATCCGTCTAAAATAAAAGTTGTATCGTTTGCGTATTGGGATAGTTTATTCTCCTCATTGTCAATAGTTACACCCTTTACATCCTTAGAATTTCGCATAAGAGTTGCTAAAATCTCGGCGCATAAAATAAATATATAAGGCGATAATGGATCTCCTTGCCTACATCCTCGTTCAAGATAAAATGAATCAGATAAAAAACCGTTTTGGAGGACACAAGAACTCTAGAACTGTCTTAAATTGATTGGCAATGCATCCAGAAGCTAGTTTGTATGTACAGTTTAATAGACTTATAGGTCTCCAGTTTTTTAGGAAGCGCTTGTCTTTATCTTTCTTGGGGATACATGTTATTATTCCAAGTCTTTGGGTGATAGATAATTGTTTTTCCGAAAATCCGTGCGATAGGGACCTAAATATAAAGTGTCCTATATCAATCCAAAAGACTTTTCAAAAATTCAAAGGAATAGCCATCTGATCCAGGGCTTTTATTGTTTTTAGTCAGTTTCAAAAATTCTAACAATTCTGATTCAGATATTTCTTTTTCAAGTTCATTTGCTTCCGTCTCGCTTAGAGTATTAATTGGTAGGTTTTTTAATTTGTTTGCTACGTCATCGCTATTCAAAAAATGTCTGTTGAATACAGTTTTTTATAAAAATTTCTTGTTTCTTTTAGAATATCTTCTTGGTTGTCAATTGTTTCACCTAAGTCATTTTCCAATTTACAGATGAAATAGTTAGATGGCTTCTCTTCTTCTTGAATAAATATTGTTTAAAGAAAAAAATAAATAATTTTTCTTACTTTAGGGAAATTCGAGTCAACGGCACCTAATCGCTTAGCAGACAACAATGCAACTCGGTACTGACTGAGCTATTCTACTTCCCAATGGGTGTTATTCCTTCATTATGATTCTTGTATATTAAATTCAATCCCTTTTGCTTCATTAACTCAATAATAACAATATCTCCAAGCACCAAACCTTTTACTGCTTAAAGGCTAATTATTGAAGAGAATATTGTAAGACTTCATATATTTATAATTTGCATAAATAAAGTGCATAAATGTAGGAGTAAGAGTTCAGTGCAGTTTCTGCACTTATTGTTTTCATAGGCACTTATTATAAATTTGTGCAGAGTATGCTCACTGACATGGAATACCTCATGTCAGTTTGTAACGGGGTTTGTCAACACAACATCTTTCAAGAGTTTAGTATTCTTTTATTATCATAATTAAAGAATAAGCTTTGGTTCTTGACATCTCCTGACATTGATCTTTCTTGAACTATCTATGCCTAATTTGAAGTTTGGTGGACTGACCAGACTTTCACACACTGACTGAGAATAGAATCAAGGATTACAATTTGTTTGAAGTATCTTATCAAACTGATTGTACCTGTTATATCGATGTAATTAATTATAGTGTTAAAGGGGCATTCCACTTTTTTTGTAAAAGTTTTCATTATCAAAAACGTTGTAAATTAAACCTGAGAATATCTATAAAATATGCTATTTATATCTATGTATCTATTTGATCAAACTGAATTTGTTTTAAAATAATTAATTAAAAACGGAGTGTACAAATTGTTAATTTAGCTTAAACTTCCAGAGATGTTGAGGGACAAAGTTTTCTTAACTTTGGTGTACTTTTCACAAAATTAAACAAAAAAAGATTTTCAACTACAGCTTGGCAATCCTTAAGAACAACACAAATTGTTTATGTGAAAGGGTTATTAAATGACATTTTTATATAGATAGTTTAAATACTTCTGTTGGCTGATTAAGTTAAGCTTTCAGGAGCCCACATGTTATTGTGAATAGTAAATGTCCATTAGTTTATAATCTTATAGAGTTTATCACTTCATATTACAATCTAAGATTAACCCAACTTGAACCCCTGTTAATCACAAGACACATCAATATTATTGAATTACACATAAACATTGTTCAGAATTCTAATTCCAAGGCCATTTCACAGATCATCCAGTACTTAAACACACCCTAGTATATATCTAGTAGATAAAGTCTTTGAATGGCATTTAGCAATTGTGAGTGCGAATGGAACAACAATCACTGGTTAAAGTTTTATGTAACATTTCGACGTGTTTCCTCCGTCGTCCTCAGGCACATGAGGCCGACGGGGGAAACAAGTCGAAACGTTACATAAAATAGTAGATCTCTTTCAGACCATCGCCAGTGCTTTCATGGAGTTTTTCGGAACTTCTTCTTCACTCATAATACTCACTTATTTTCAATTGTAATAATCATTTTTGTTTTAGTCAGTCATTTGTTTTATAAATTATCAAAGAAGCTATATGGCAAGTATTCATCTCATGCTAATCACACATGTGTCAGGTATTAAACCTGCATCAGAATAGCTTGTTACAAACAGGGGATAACTTTCAGCTGTGGTGCAAAGTCTGCTGGAAGAAGAGATCAATGAAACAAGAGAGGGAAACCTGTTGAAGCATGAAGTTAGAAGATGTCCTACTTCATGAAGACTCTAGGCCATTTTTGTGGAGTCAATCATACCTTAATTGGTCTCGAAACTGGAATTTTCTCAGCTAAGCTATTCATTAATAGTATTCACTACTTATCACTTAAATTTGAGCCTTCCTTTCCTCTTGTATCCATAATTATCAGTAATAAAATAGTAAGAGAAGTCAGAGAATATTCTCAAATAGAAGAAATAAGTAGATATGTATGATATTGATATTTCCATAAATCATACAGTAAGAGTAGTATATATGTGAAATGTAAAATATGAGGTCTAAAACCTGTACAGGAAATCCTTCAAATATTTTTTTTTATTACAAGATTTATGAGAATATCTTCAGTTTAAAAATTATAATATATTGAAATACACACCAGTCAGCTGGTTAAACCACAGTTATACATGTGTACACTTTAAAGGTATATTCCTGCTTAATTTCAATGATACATCAATAGCTGTCTCAGGATGAGATGCATGTCTTTTTAACATATATATACAGATCCATATATACTATACAATGTTTCTCTTTAGCAGGTTGAACTTACATTGAGGACTAAGATAATAAATATTCAGCATTTCATGTAATTTTCAAACTAGCCAATCAAAACGCTTGCAGTTAGCATTTTGAACACATGCATAATACTAATATATAATATATCGGCAAGTATAGGCAAACTTTTTGATAGATTTTCATTTTGCACGCCCAGGTGTAGGCCTACCCCTACTTCATTTCTAAGAAATTGTACAACTATGAAGTTTATACCTTTTACCTCAAAATATATGTCAGAATGTAGAAATCTACCAAATCAATTAATTTTTCAAGTAAAGAAAAGAAAAGAACCCTCTCAGATGCTCAATGGGAGGTTTGAGACTATGGCAGAGCTGCCTTATTTCAATTCAACCATTGACAAAATTCCCCCATTCAGTCAGTCTGCCCCCTGTTTGTACCCTCAGGATCTGGAGGCTGATGCTGCCACTTTTTATTCGTTAATTGTGGAGGAAATGATCTTAAAACTTACTGATTTGGCTAATGGACAAAGATTATACCATATCATTGGCAAAAAACACTGTAGTAGTTTACTCTTTTTCAATATTCCACTGACATGTAGCAACAAAAAGCCTTGGTTTATTGTCCATCTTTTATCAGCTTTTAACAAGCTTAAGCCATGAAAAACAATATAATTTTCTAATTGCCACAATGGGAACATTATTAGGCCTACCTTCCCCACACAATCTAACTAACAATGACTTTACAGAATTAACAATATTAAGAAAATTAGTTGCTAAATGGCCCCATTGTGATTATACATCTTTCACCATTTCAACAGAATTTGTGTTGTTCAAATTAATGGAGATGTCCTTGGCAGTTAATTTGGTTATTTCCTTCAAACTAATGAGGCTCACTGTGATTTTTACTTATGTAAGTTTCTATCTGGAAAAATATTATTGAAAAATAACTTGATCTGTTTTGACCAATTGTATTTGTGTATTAAATTTGTTTCCGTCAATTTATCTGTTTTCGCTAAATACTGCTATTTACTTAAAAAATAATCACTTTTCTGACCTTTAGCATTGTGCTACATCACCTTCCCAGGGCATGAATTATTTCTTGCTTTGAGTTGGATTTAACTGAAGTTATTGCTGTCTTACATTTGTCAATCTAATATAACTGATAATATTTATAAGAATTGGAATAATCCTTTAGCGATATTTAGGGGTGGAGATCACATTAAATAACGGACACAATTTTATGGTATACTATAAAACTAAGGAGTAGTATACCATAAAATTGTGTCTGTTATTTAAGAATTGGAATATCAGCATCTAAATAGTACTGTTACTCAATTTATTTCATATGAAAACAGAGTTCTGGAAGATTTAAATATAGTTTATTGAGAATTGAAACTGACTTTATAAATGCCATTGATTTATATCTCCAAACTGAGTTCCGGCAGATTTTAAAATAGTTTGTAGGGAATTGAAATATTTCTTCTGGTAGTTGTTAATATTTTCTTGAGGGATCTGAATTCTATACCTGATTATTTTCTATATCCTATTGTAGTCTTATTTAACAATAGATGTGTATGGTGCTTACTTTAATTATCATTATCCTTACTTTCATATCTTACTTATTCTGTTTTAATTACAACAAAAATTACATGTACATATCTATTGAAAGAAAACCATAGTTTTCTTGATTGAAATTTGACACAATTTGAGAAATTTATTAATTAAATTTTATACGCCCACACGTAAGTATGGACGTATATTGTTGTTGTCCCTGTTGGTCCGTCCGTTCACATTTACCTCGTGCTCACTCTACAGGCTACAATTTGGATTATTATGAGGATGTGCACTATTGAATTTGGTGATGATCCAATGATTTTTTTGAGAGATATCGCATAAAACTATGATATCGCGTTTGTTTTCTTTTCACTTTTTTGGCTTGTGCTCACTCTACAGCCTCCAATTCTCCATGGAATCTTTTGATCTTTTGTATGTGTGTCAATATCATTAAGAAGATGTGCACTAATGAATTTGGTGATGATCTGATGATTTTCTCTCTGATAACCTGTTTTTTCAGTTTTTTGGTTCGTGCTCACTCTACAGGTTATGATATAGAGTTTGTTTTACTGTTCATATTTAGCTTTTTATCAAGCTGCTGGTGGGTGTATTCGCTTGAAACTTACCACAAGCCTATGTTATATATTATCTTTAT